TGGGGAAGTAAGACCCACTCCTCCAACAAAAGAATGTACAGTTTCCATTTGCGGTGAATGGCACTTGGGAAAGGGCTAGGTGCAGAGTTATTGCCTTGGCAGAACCAAGGAGAGCTGAAAGAACTACAGAGGCAAGGGGGGAGGGGAGGGGAAGAGGTGGGGCAAGAGGACCTGGCTACCAACAGCAGAGTTTAAAATAATAACTCAGTAAGACCCACTCCTCCAACAAAAGAATGTACAGTTTCCATTTGCGGTGAATGGCACTTGGGAAAGGGCTAGGTGCAGAGTTATTGCCTTGGCAGAACCAAGGAGAGCTGAAAGAACTACAGAGGCAAGGGGGGAGGGGAGGGGAAGAGGTGGGGCAAGAGGACCTGGCTACCAACAGCAGAGTTTAAAATAATAACTCTCTCTCTTGTCCCCTTCACCTTCCTTGCATATACAGGATCAGAGAACGTAACAAGAGCCCCCAGGAACGCCAGCGAGAGATCTGCGAGGACTATAACCCCTGTGAGCGCTACGCCATGTTCTATGGCTACCCTGCTGCCTACAAGCGCTTCTTTGGGCAGCGGAGGAGCAAATTTGAGTGACAAGTTCCCATTCCCGGAGCCTGGAGCCCGGGTTCTGTACCTAGATGGAGCAAAGTCTCTGAAACTTATTAAGTTGCTTGTTCACTGTATGTTATCCTGCCCACTGCTTCACTCCCCTGTAGCTGAGGATTCCTAGATTTTGTGTTAATTAGTCTAATGGCGATGTAGATGAGGTTGGACAGGCGCCAGGATGTGGGTGTTTATTACACAATAAACTGCCAGTTTGATACTGTTTCTTTGTGACTCCTGAGTTTTTCTTTGGAGATGTCTCCAACGTTTTTACACCCAAGATCACTTTTTAAGTCTCAGAACAGGTGAAGATCTACCACCCCACCCCTTCCTTGAAGCCCCGCCCCTTCCTTGAAGCCCTGCCCTCTCTATTCTCCTGTCCATCACTTGCTATCCCCAGCCCTTA